TTACAGAAGCATATATATGTGTGTGTGTGTGTCTGTGTGTGTATATTTGTTTTATAGAAATTAAGATGAAATGTTATAAAATTGTTTACATTTGAACATACGAAATCACTTTTTGCGCACTTTTTTAACAGTGTTTCTCGGTTACTTCCCCTTGTATGACTTTTTACATTGCAATTCAAAATTCAGTTTCTTTTGATCTGTTGGTATTTAGTTTTAACATATTTTATTGACAAAATGACATGTCAAAAAGATTAGTCTCTAAGTTTTACCACTTATGATCGACTTCTCCCATCAATATATATACCATATAGTTCAACAACAACAGTCACATGGTGGCATCTATAGTATTAAACTTCACATGGATGCCCACATCGACACTCAGCGTTATCTAGGAGATTGGCTCTACAAAAATTGTAATTAAGAGAGCTTGCTCGATTTCTAAGTCAAAAATGGAGAATATTTAATTTCCTAGGACCCATAACTTACAAAAGTTTTACAGAGGTTAGTATTTTTTTTTACATTATTCTTAAATGAGTTAAGAGATGGAGAATTTTTGATAGTGATATTTAAATCGTTCCAAAGTTTTGTTGTAGAAGGGAAAAAAAGGATGTTGCGACAGTTGCAAACAAAAAGGCTGTTCTCTCAGTAAATGGTTGTTTCGTAGGCTATAACGAGCTGCATTCCCTACATTCATTGGCAATAAGTCTATAAGAAAATTCGGTATTGTTGACTATAGTGTAAAACAGAGCAAGTTTTCATGCTTCTCGTCTTTTGGAAAGTGGAACCCAACCAGTTTCTTGATATAAGAATTCTATTTTTGTGTATATGAGCAGCCCTGTGACTATCCTTGCAGTTTCAAGTTGGATTTTTTTTCCAGAATTAATGAATTTGCTACACCCAAGTTGTCCCATAGCTCACATGAATATTCGAGTAAGGGACGAATATAAGTAAGATATCATTTTTCCAGATTTTTCCTATTTAAAATAAGTTTAAGTTTACGGAAAGTTGCTATATACATGGTTACTTTACTTAAAATATACTCAATATGTACATTCTATTTACCATCATTGGAAATAATAACACCTAGGTGTTTATGTTGATCAGTAATTTTGATTGAAGTGTTATCAAAGGTAAGGGTTGAGATGAAACGCAGTTGCCGATTAGAGATAATCAATGCTTCAATTTTTAGGGTTGAAAGACATAAGTAATTATTTAGAAAATATTTCAAGTTTCCTCAGATCAGATTTAGCTACGTTTTCAATAAAGTTTAAGTTTTGTGATGAATAGGAGAGAGAGGTATTATCAACAAACAGTCTGGATAAAAAGGAGAGATTATGAATATCGTTTATATATTAAGAAGAGAGGCCCAAGAACAGAACCTTGAGGGTCGCCAGCATTAATAGTCTTAAACGAAGATACTGAATCCTTAATAAAAATAGCATGTTTTCTGTTAGACAAATAACTAGTTAACCATCGAAGAAATGGTCCGGAAATACTAAAATTATCCAGTTTAAATATTAGACCTTTGTTCCAAACTCAATTAGTTAATGAGTTGTGGAATGATTAGGTAGGAATACTGACTGATATTTGTAAATTAGATCATTTTCAATCAAAAAATTATAGATGTGCTTATATACCACACGTTCAAACAGTTTATGTATACAGCTAATTAGTGAAATTGGTCTATAATTAGAAGTGACACTTGGATCATTAGCTTTGAAAACAGGCATTACATGGACAATTTTCCACAAATCAGGATACACAGAGGAAGATAGTGAATGATTGAATATAATAGACAGTGGTACAGAAAACTTCATTAGATACAAGTTTGAGCATTTCAAGACTAATACCGTCAGGACCTGTCGCTTTATTTACATCAAGTATATTTATGATATCTTCAACTTCACTAGGAGCTATTTTAATTTCAGATAAGACGGAATTGGTACGCTTCTCAAAAAATAGTAAACCTTTATCTATGTCATTTTCTGCTAAACTGCATACAGAACTAAAGTAGTTATTCAACAATTCACATTTACTATCATTGTCATATATAATTTCATTTGTAGCAGAATTTAGTTAAGGGGAAATTTCAGAATTTGTTTTGCCGTTAAGAATACTCCGTAGGAGTTTCCAACACATCTTGGGATTATTATTATTATTACTTTTGTCCATCACCGTATCTACATTTTCATAAACTAATTCCTTAGCTCTATTAATTATGTTGTTTACTCTATTTCTCCTGTACTTATAATTGTTTACCATTTTATAATGGCGATCTATGGAAGAAATAAATAAGTAGACACGAAAATATTGAATAATATGAGAATAATAGCGAGAAAGAAAACTACCACGTTTAGCTGTTTCGTTCTTCATGGTCTCGTCAGTGATGCTAAAAAGTATTAAGATCTAGGATAGCATTAAAAATTAAATAAATGTCTATAATCAGATGGTTACACATGTTATTTGTTGCCATGGGGACATCTTGTATTCATTCTTTGGTTTTCGGATCATTCTGTCTTTAACGAATTAAGATATTAAACTGTAATTTGGTGTATTGTTGTTGTTTATCAATACGATGCTGGTAAAGGTCTGAGTATGTGAGGATCAACTTATTTTTGCTTAGATTATACCCATTTAACCTTTTAATTCATTATTTTGACAAATAAGCATGGCCGAAAAAGTATAACTGCCGTAGGAAAAAAAAAAAAAAAAAAACAGAAAAAATATATGAATAAAAATGGAATAAAATATGACACCGATATCAACGCCATTCCTATTTTTTATCATATGTATTTTCACTTTGATTTTGGAAATGTGCTCTCTTTTGTATTATCATTTTTATATTGTTATCTATTTCAATTTCCTTGCAGCAATCTGCTGGCAGGATTCCAATATTTTAGATAAGATTCTTTGCCCATTTTATCTCCAAATACTCTAATGGAATCTCTACTATTTCATTTTATATTTTATTTTATAGATTCTGCAGGCAAAACCCAGTCTGTTAGCAACATCGAAAGGAAGGGGTCCTCATTTTTCTTTTCTATTTTTTTTACATTTGGTTTATAAATGATACCCAAATCAGATTAAAGTTTACAATGCTGAAGTATAGCATCTGAACCCAAAGGGTCATTAGCAACATTTGTGCTCTGATATCCAATTCAAACAAATGAAAAGGTTAATAAAATGACCTATTTGTGTAGGAGATGGAAACATTCTAGCTGTATCGGTGTTTTAATACACATTACTAATGTTATTTGTCTCCTCTAAAACCAAATGTAAATTCATAAGATATATTTGTATACTTATAAGACTTGGTAAATTCTCTGTTTACGCACATTCTCAGATATGTTAACTTTGAATGTCAACTTAGGTCAACCCATACCTGACACAGATGTTAGTTACAGCAGTGATATTCGTATTGATCCGCCACATTTAGTCTTAAAATAATCATCTTCCACTTTACCAGTACAAGTTGAGTGATAAGCGTGACATGTATTTTGGAGCGGTGCAACTTAATGGTCGTTATGATCATCTCCGTAAAATTTCCTTGATTAAAAGTGAGATATGAAGTTTGACATACCTGATTCTCCCTTAATATGATTATTTTTCCTTCGGTGCCTCTACGGTTTCTATTTTGAAAACGTTACATTATTTGAATTTGTAAACAACATAAACATTAAAGAATATCTATATTTAGATACCACAAACATGAAAATGGCATTAGATATGAATTGAAATAATGTTATTTCATAATGTGTATTTCAGTCAATATGGGGTTTTCAAATGAAGAAACTCATCAGTCAACATGTACATACTGATATCCGTCTGTCTCATTGAAACTTATTAACTCCGATCACTATATTTCCCAATGACAGAACTGGATCGTTTCTTTTGTCCTGGATGAACACATACTATGGTTTATCGTTTTGTAACATTGCGTGTGTTCACACGCAAAACAGTTATTTTATGAGCCAAATAAAAATATCAGTATTTCACCGACAGCTTACAGACACATGATATGACAAAACAGCGATATTCACGAAGGAATTTACGTCAACAATCCTCTTATTCGTATGCGAAATGGGATTTGCCGTGTGTCGGCCGAATTCCGTTAATGCAATATCAGATATGTTCGTAAGTGGTCAGATAAATATGGCATCTCTTTAAAGCTACATAGGCCATCCTTATTTTTTTACAATTTAAATAATAGTCAGTATACCGAGTCTAGCGTAGGCTGCCTGACACTACCGTAATGTGTGTCTACCTTCGGCCAGATCGTCACCTCGTGTCACTGCTCGTCATCTTGTTTAAATCCATTGGCAATGTAAAATTGTATTTTTATCAATTTATCAATTCCTTTTCAAAAACGTTGCATCCGGAAACTTCATTTGACTCATTTACAAATTGACCAAATCACGAACTCATGGTACTTCCTATTCCTATGAAAGTAGAATTTAAAATAAAAGCTTAGAACTAAAATCTAACTTATAACTAATTTATATTTAAACATCAATTCACATGTGTATTTTTGTACAATCTGAAGTATATCTATATCAACTTAATTAATTCGGTTTTGGAACAATGTTGTGTTGTTGCCTGATGACACATGAAGCTAGCTATCAGCTGTTCCGTATGTAAGCTCACATATACGATAACTGTAAGATGTTACAAAGTGACATTACATTGCACTGTAGGGCCAGTTTAAAGTGCATTTGCGTGACAGAATTTTAAAAAATAGTGGGCTAATCTTAAGTTGATAAAACCACATACTGACCCTTTCAGCAATATCTGAATCATATCTCGGCAAAAATTACAAACATATTCTCAAATACGAGCAGTAACTCTTTCTACAGACTTAAAAATCTAACAGCCGGGTAAAACGCCGAACAGAGATGATGGGGTGTGAAATGGGCGGTGAGGGAGACAAGAGGTAGAGTACCTATTCAGGTTCATCTTAAATGAAATTGACATTTTCGACCAAGTTGATTGCGAAATGAAAATGACAATGCTGATATTTATTTTATTTCATATCAAAGTAACATATATTTTCAAATCTTATGTTCAAGTCGACAATAAAGCATGAAGATGTACAAATAAGGTATAATGTTCAAAGATGTTATTTTACCGGGAGCGTTTAAACTCCTCTCAATACACGATACATAATTGCGGAAAGCACACAGCTCTAAATCTAAGCTAGATCTAAATCAGGTCATGTATATAAGGTATTTATGTGGAACCCTGAATGATGAGACTGTTTTTTACAATGCACGTTAACTATATATTGGCGGTCAATATGTGTTGTTCGCGATAGTAGTATACTTACATGGCTTACACTGCAAACATGCATTATAAATATTTTGTTAGCACTATTCAACATAACAATCGTTGTTTAACTTGAATATCACACAATACTTTAAACTTCATTGCATAATAATATTTGACTGATCTGCACACAATCAGGCTTTTTCTTTTGTCGAACTGAAAATAGCTTTGTGGTGTCCGTTCGACAGAAGAACGCCATCACTCGGACGAATATCCGCCTCTTCATCCTTCGTTAACATCCCCATTTCCACTTCCGGTTCTCCTGGTAACGAAGGTTGTTCAGATGATCTCACACAACTCCTGGCCACGCGCAGACGCAGACGATACAGTCCGTAAAACATCAAATGTACGACTGGACAGCATAAAAACACATAACTTAATGAAAGAAGCAACGATGACACCGGTCGTTCACTCCAATTTAAAAATGAATAAACCACGTGACCAGATGCTATCTGATATATAGTGCAGAATATGATATAGATTAGATTGTAAATAACAGGTTGATAAAAATGCTGAAATTTGACTGGTTTTGCCGTTAAACAAACACACAATATGACGTAGACGGCGTTGAGACCGTGTTTGTTGATAGACGTGGCTGCAAATGCTGTAACAGAGAAACGCATCAATAGATTACTTAACACAGTATCTAAAGAGACACTGTCGATAACGACGCTTATGATGATCCTATTGAAAAATGAGATCTTATTGAATTAGAATGAGTTTTGATAATTGGATTCGACATTTCGCTTTTTTGGCTCCAATACAGGATTACCAGTGCTTAACTTCAGTGCTGGACCCCCGACCTGCCCGACGTCAATTATCTGACTCAGATGTAGACATATTTCATTTGAATTCTTCCGTTAGTAAGTATTTATTTTTCTTGACTGTTAACGTTTAATCTAGTTATACATACAGTTAAACCTCATTACCTCGAAATTTTATAACCCGAAGACACGGCATAATTATTTTGTCGGTCCCGGCCACACTTCACACTATGTTTTCAAGCTTTTGCTTAAATTGAATACTCGGATAACTCGAAGTTTTCCCACGGTCCCGTCGACTACGAGATAATGAGGTTCGACTGTACGTGCTATCGTGTGATGTGAATGTCACTGCATGTACGGTCATTACTTACATTTTGCCAGAAGAACCCAGTACGTAATTGTTAGTATTACTGCCGATGTGTTCATGATATTGAAGATTACCCAGTTCACTTTCATGTACCATGGCATTTCTTCTGAAAAGTATAAACAACATTGTATTTGTAAGTACTGCAGCAGCACGTAAACCTTGACACTAACTGGTCAGGTAAACACAAGTGCATATTTCTGTTACGCTATGATATCTTGATAGATTTATTTTTAATTATTTCTGATGAATTAGACTCGTGAAAATAATATATGCTGTTCAATTACTGTAAAACACTTAGATTTCGTGAATAATTTATTTCGCGAACTCACGTCTGCAAACATATTTTCGCGAATACATGATTTCGTGAACACTGAGCTAGAAATGAATTTGAATTTACGAATGACGAGCTATTAGAGACATGCATTCTGAAAACCTCCTTTATATCGGCAACCGATAGTTTCGCACCGACCGCCATTCTATTTTTGAGAGTCATGTGACTATACCTGAACAGGGATTCGGTCATGTGATTTATGCTGTGTTCATGCTGTAATGTATTTAGCGGAATACAGACAAGTGCATAGACAAGAGAAACAAATGTAAGAGAGATGAGTCATTTTCAGGGCAAGACGACGGTACTTCGACATGACAACCGTATGGTGCAGTGTTTAACGTTACGCTTCCTAACTCGTCCATGCTATTCCCATTGTAACGCCTTTGACGGTTTTCCTACTATTTATTTTGTAATTCAATTAAATAGATATTTTGCATGTTAAAAACTCTACTATTATAACTATTTCAGCACCTTCTAAACACAAAAAAGCATCGTGGATTTACAATCATATCCATTGTTTAAGGCACACGTGCTCGATCTCCAACCAACAGCTGAATGTTTGAATAACGCCATTCGGTGAAGCACTAGTCAGCAATATGGGGATGTCGTTTAAAAGTACAGAGTTCTCAAGATGATTGGATTTGTAAGGAATATATGTCTAAAAGATTTGCTTGTATAAAACGCAAATGTCTGTAAATACAAGTTAACGACGGGATAACAAAATAGTATCAATAGTTTCGTACAAATAATCGCGAGAGATTTAAATTCGCGATTGTCTCTCCTTGCATATTGACGCGAAAATAAATCCCAAACGAAATATAAGTGATTAACAGTATATTATTAGAGGAAATTTGTTGAATAATGGGGCTAATGCACTTCCTCATCTAAATTTCGATATTTCACTTGGTCAGTTTTGTTTTTCCTCGGTTGTGTCCAAAATGGATGAAACAGACATTTGGCACTATCGTATCTAATTCTCAGTTCGTGTTGAATGTAATATTCACTTGTTAGTCTTCTGTACAATCTGTTTGAGAAGCAAACGTCCGTTACATGACTTCCGTCAGAAAACAAGTTTCAAGATTTTGATAAAATCTCGAAAATTTTAACCACTTAAAAGCAGTCTAAACGGTATCATTAATGTTTTAAAAATGGAATGTACTTCAGCGTAATGATATTTTGAGAGCTGTCGATATTAAAGAAATAAACGATTTAACAGGCTATGAAGCAAGTACAAATTGGAAGTGAAACCATATCCACGTGACGAGAATTTCCCATGTTACCATTTGCGTCCGCTCGACTGTTTGTCAGCAATAGATTTCTTTTTTCCAAATGATCTCTTCTAAAACATACTATCTTCTGAAACTTTAATTCAAAATCCCATTTGGACAGAAATTGTCTAGGCGTAAACTCGTTGTTTCTGTTTTAATAGACAGGTGCCATTAGCGTTTTGGGTTCGTTTTATCTGGTGCTGATAAAGTTCAATTTTTACTAAATGTATGAAATTAATTTTCTGATTTATTTCGCATGGAGAATTATACTCTTCTTGACCAATTGTCTTCTGAGTAACCAGAAACAGGCAGTTATTTTTACCAGTCATGAATATTCAAGTTGTTTGTTTGTTTTTGCTACTACATATTTTCTCATTGTTTTGCCAGAATTATTTAGATACTGTATCAGATATTCAAGGGATATCCCCTCCGATTTGCAAAATTTGTAAACATAAAAATATCTCACCTGCGGTCAGTTTGGACAGATGAGACAGGTGAGAATAATTTATTCAAATGGCAAACTGGGTTGTACTCTTTCCGTATGAACATAAGTTGATAATTCTGTACAATTTTCTTCCAAAAGCATCTTATGAAATCTTGTGAGGAATATCACTTTGGCTGTATGCAGATAAAGTTATAATATTTATCTTAGCATGATATCAATGTTCTATAAATACTTACTCTCTGTTTTTCCATCTTTATAAAAATAGATATAGCTTGCGGTGAGAAAGTCGATGAAGGAATGGACTGTGATGAGTGTGTAGGACCAGTTGGTGAGGTAGACCAGCCATGAGGCGGGATGCACGTCCCATGTGGCGTTATAAAAGTAGGTATCATACGCACACCAGATGAGATGAAACATTGTCCAGAATGACGTCCATACTAAGTAATGGACTTGACTTCCTGCCTGGATAACAAGATCAGATAACATTTTTAAATATTGATAAAATTTTAATTTTTAAATAAGCGATGTTATATACAATCTCTTAACTTGGCGTTCAATCACAACTATACTGACCGTGATTTTAGGAGACAAAGTTTCTGCTACGTTGTATCATTTTAAGGGAAATTATAAATGAAAAGTACTGTATATACTTTTTATCTATTTCTAAACCAGAAAGATAATCTTAACAGATTAGTGTAAAACAAAAATCCCATAGCGTACATCACAGTGTAAATAAAAAACATACTATATATAGTTTAAATTACGAAAATTTAAATATCTCTCAATTTAAATTAGATTTTTTGATTTATTATTTTCCTGGTCCCATAAACATGTGGCGATGATTAGTACATAATGTAAAACCAAACAACAAAGTAAATCTACGACAAAATTAATTACTACATGTAATTAAGGTGACATATAATTAATTACTTCCATATCCGTTGTATGGCACTCAGTGTAATGTATTCATGGCATGGAGACTTATCATTGGAACATCCACAAAATCACATCCATAGCAAACCTTCCATCCTATCTCTTTTATCGCCACTTCTAACTCTCTTCTAAAATTGAAATTTGTTTAAACTTCTTTGTCTACCTGTTATGCATATACCCACACAGATACAACATCACGCGCACAAGATTGAAATCAATGGAGGCTTAATAAGAATTTCATAGAGTGAAAACTGTTTTAGGGCGGCTTCATGTTAAGTGGTCTTTTCAGCATGGGATTTTGATATCACATTTGTATTATGGTTTTTTAGTTGTTTTAGGTTTGCTGTATAATGTTCCGTATTTTTCTGTGATGATGGGAAACATGTTGTATTGCTTTGGTAACAGTTTTAAATGCAGACGAAGCACTTGCGTTCAAAAATGAAAGGTTTCCTTTAAATCAGCAGTTCTTAAAAACAGTAAAATAGATAAGGTTGGAAACTCGTTCAAAGATAATGCCACATCCAATGAAAATAATATTGATAACAAGCAAAATAAATTTTTAATTTTTGAAAGCCATTTAAGTCTCTGGATAAATTTACAAACTATTCTAGCTAGATATTTGTCGGTTACACTGTTCAGATCGACAGATCTAGGACCGATTACGGTTAGTACGGAAACACAGACGGGAACCTGGCGCTAAATTTAGTAACGAATCAGATGCTATGACATGTTTACATGATTTTAAGCTTAACAGGGCACAAGTTAGGGCTTTAGGCGACACGTCATTGAAACGGAGATAAACCGGAAGTTGAAACCTTAACTGAGTAAGAGCACATGACGGAAGAGCCTCTCGAGAGTTTATGAACGACTCGGGTAATAATACATCTTTAATGAGAGAGATGAGTTCAGTCGGCGTGCAAATATGATAACTTGACCTTTGTTTTTGGCAATTGTGTCAATGAATTTAAATAGTCCCGAATTTTTTTGTTTACATAGCCCCGTTACATAAACATATCTATGTAAACTTCCTAACTATATACACGACGTGGACTTAATATAAGTAGTAGTATCTCTAAACGTATAGAAATATCTTTATATAATTTTGAGATATTTGCAAAAGTATCAGCGATCTATTCTAGATTTGAGATGACACTATATCTACATACAGGTAAAACAAAAGTGACTAATGTTTATGTACTATTTTCCCGTCTATAACCGATAAACACCCGGGGTGTGTTTTCTGTTGATGACCGGTATTGGACCGAATGAGATACTGGACTGAACGAATAAATTTGACCATATCGTGTTAAATTATTTAATTAGTTATATGCGCATCAAACACAAGATTTACCTTAAGCATGCTCAATTTAACATTACAAGCATGTTTATTAATAAAACTGGTGTTAATTGAGTTGTAGAAATACAATACATAGTTTCCCTCACAGATACACCAACTATTACAGATAACGCCAAATATGGAAATCATTTAATCAGTAGTCTTTACTGGACTACAGTACTAAATTAAATTGTTTTCATCAATGTGTTAGGAATACAAAATTATTTTTCTAATTAAACAAGGCAGTTCTCCTCGGTATCATTATACATGTATATAATGGCAAAGACAGGAATGTTTCCACAACTGATATAAAGAGTAGACAAAAAAAGTAGATTTCACCACCATTGTATAACAGATATTCATTTTTTTCCTATTAGAAGTACAGCTACGAATCTATACTGCAAAAAATTGCAATGCAGCACGTAAGGCTACGTCACTATAACAACACAACAAAACGATGTGCCGGTGATAGAATGTCTTCGATTGCTCCACACTAACATAACAAAGTGCACGTTGTTTACTACCTGTCCTGCTTAAGCTTACTTTCTTTCTTAGTAAAACTATCTCACATAAAAATAAGATGTTCCTTTTTTATTGTATGATAATTAATGTAGATGCAACTATTGACTACAAAATGCAATGTGAAATTGGGTGTTGCAATGTTTAGAATGATTTACCAAAATAGCTTTCCATACTTTCTGTTTAAGGTCACTTTGGAAGATGTGAATTTATTTCATTTTGAAATTAAAGACATACTTATATGTGTATAAATCATGCACAGTGTACAGCCTGTCGTAATACGGAAGCCTCACGCGCGAGGTCATGTAAAGGTTTAAAATACATGTTGTCTGTATGGTGCAGTACTCATTAACGTCTTCACTACCTACACAAGACAACCTTGGTGACATTATTTTCGTATCATTTGTATGTAGTTTAATCATGTGGCATGTTTTTCCGTTATCTCCATGGTGATTGTCTATTCTGTCATACTAGGAAGTGAAATTAGAGAACGAAAAGTTATGTATGATAAGTCGGATAACAAAACAGACTAAGGTGCGAGGTGATATTCGTAACATGAATTGCTGGATAGGTTTTATAACAACTTATATCTAAACAGGTTTGAATTTCACCAGTAGAAGTGAGACAAGTGGAGATTTAAAATCTTATGAGTTAATATTTTTCTTGCAACAAATGTGTCGACTGTGACAGAAAATAACTGTGTATAAGAAAACTACTGAGAGACTGTTTTCTGATTTCTCACTAATTAATTTCTTTGAAATATTCAAAACAGACATTATGATTTTTAAGTTTATCATGTTTTTAAAGAAAGGGTAACCACATTGCCGTGATATTAAAGTTTGGAACTACATTTCCACGCAGACGAATGATTTGTATTCACAAATTACATCGTCTAAATAATCTAGTCTTCTTAGTCAGCGCAATATAAACGTAGTTTAGACAAAAAAATCATTTGAAATTTCAAATGGAGTGATTTTCGGTAAATATAAGGTATTGTGGACTACATAATCATTGTCTTAAGATGTAAGCCATACGTATTATAGATCTGGACTGGGCAATATCGACAAGTCACTCTTATGTCTGCACACAGAAAACAGAAACAGTTCCTACCTGTATGGAATTTATTATAGGATTGCCAGTTAAAACCCCAATGAACTTGTTTGATTTTCTTTGGCAAACAACGTAACTATGTTTGTTTCAAAATAAAAAAAATATATACATTAGCTAAATTATATAATGGTGTGATCACACCTTTTAACAATTATGGACAAAAAAAAACTTAACTTTCGATTATGCAATGCAAACAGTATTCTCACGGTATTCTGTGCAGCGCGGCGCTTTGTGTCAGCCTGGATAAAAACTCTAGCTACAAATAATAATGAATGTTCTCAACTACGCAATGTTAGTAGTTTCCAGTGTTTGAAAAAAGACTCGGCGATGTGAAATCACAAATGCAAGGCATATACAGTTTTCAAGTCTTTCGAGATGTATGTAAAAGTAATGAGGAAAAAAATATATGTACTTAAAGTATTTTTCTTTCCTAGACTTTTCAATTTGGTCAGTGTTATAGAATAATTTCAGAGACATTCCGAACAGCAGAGCTTATGATATATAAACAGTATGAAACTACGACATGTATCGCTGACAAAACAAATCAATCATAATCACGTTAGTTATAAGATGAATAGGAATTAGCCTCTGAAATGGCACTTGTAAGCCGAGGCATGAACTGCACATTCTATCTGACATATTTGAATCATAGGTGGTGTCTACTTCATGTCCTTTAAGAGATTGGGCGGACTCCGAGCGCTGAGTAAGACGTCAGCCCAATTAAAGACATTCTCTTATCCACCTCATTATATCAGCACCACAAACACAGGGCGGTGTAGCTAGCTGATAACACCGGAAGTGCAAATGTAGCCTTTGTTCGATTCAAAAACATACCTCGGTAACACAAGGTTTTACAACTTGAGGGTATGTTATATATGACACCGAGACATTCTCGAGAATACTTTAAAATTGCAGAGAATGCCAAAAAACGAAATCTGACCAATTCTGTATCAAAATCAGTGACCTGAAATCATTCACGATATTTGTCTGTTGAACACTCAAGAGTATTTCCGAAAAACCATTCCGGAACTTCGAAATCGTTCCGATTTTGGCTAGTCGCGCACAACATCGTAACACAATTGACAGAAATTTTCCATCTGGACTGCTTACAAATAACTGTTTTTGATAAACAAACAGATAGTTTCTGAAAGTTCAAGTCAAAAGTAGCCTATCTATCAACTATTGACAAATAAAATGTCACATTGTTGCATTCTCCTCCTGTCGCTATTTTCAGCTGACCTCTTTGAATCAAATGAAAACGGCTCTCTCGTCGGTCCGAAATTATAGCCACCCACTCCTTATTCTTATTGTTTTGTAAACTGATTTGGTGATAATATAAAACTGAGGGAAAAGAAATTGTCATTATATAAATATTAAAACTACTAAAACAAACCTTTGGTTTGGTACCATTTAATTAGTTTGCAAAAACTAGCATCAGTTGATCTTTGTCCATCAAAACTTATATAGATATAGAATCTAGTAAGTAATATCGACGGTATGGTCCAATATTGGTACTGGACCCGAACAAACAAATGTTCGTTGGATGCGTATTGCTGGAATAGAT